CCTGCGCGCGGAGTTGAATGGATAAGGCATGGGGGCCGTGTGCGTGTCGAGGGCTTGGTGCCCAGCGTTCCAGGACCCAAGCGGCCGCCCAGGCTGGCATCTGGGAGCCCGCCAACCAGAGGGTGGCGGGGGTATAGCCTAGATGTGGCCCGATGTCGGGAAGCAACCTGTTCGCCACTGCCTCGAGCGACGAGGGTTGTTCCCCTCGCCAAGCTAATCCTGCCTCGCTTGACCCTCGCCAGCTCGTCGCTAAACGCCTCGCTCGCGCGCCCCCGGATTTTTTTGGTCTCAACCGTCCTGTGGTGTTGGGTCCTCGTTTTGAAGAGACAGCGCCCCGCGTCCTACCTCACTACTGCTATTACTATTACTATTACTACTACTACTACTACTACTACTACTACTACTACTACTACTACCACTACTACTACTACTACCACTACCACTACCACTACCACTACAACTACCACTACCACTACTACTACTACTACTACTACTACTACTACTACTACTACTACTACTACTACTACTACTACTACTACTACTACTACTACTACTACTACTACTACTACTACTACTACTACTACTACTACTACTACTACTACTACTACTACTACTACTACTACTACTACTACTACTACTACTACTACTACTACTACTACTACTACTACTACTACTACTACTACTACTACTACTACTACTACTACTACTACTACTACTACTACTACTACTACTACTACTACTACTACTACTACTACTACTACTACTACTACTACTACTACTACTACTACTACTACTACTACTACTACTACTACTACTACTACTACTACGACTTCCATCCCTGCTTCCGCCTTCCGCATCAGCCACATTTCGGCACACCCTCGACAGGTTTCGTGGGCCCCCTAGGGAGCCCCACGGAAGGCCCCAGTGGCAAGGTTTGCATACGTCTCTCCCTCTCTCTCTCCCTCTCTCTCTCTCTCTTCCTTCCCCCGACGCAAGGTTTTTGACCCATAGGGGGCCCCAGCGGAGGCCCCAATGGTAAAGCTCACATGCGTCCCCCCAACCCATACAACATTTCGTGGCCCCATGGGGAACTCCACCGGAAGCCGTAATGGTAGGGTTCACATGCGTCTCCCCCGCCCAACACAACGTTTCGTAACCCATAGGAAGTTCCACCGAAGGCCCCAATGGCAGGGTTTGCGTGCGTCTCCCCCACCCCGTACAGCGTTTCGTGGCCCCAGTGGGAGCTCCACCGGAGGCCCTAATGGCAGGGTTCACATGCGTTTCCCCCGCCCAATACAGCGTTTCGTAACCCATAGGGAGCTCCACCGAAGGCCCCGGTGGCAAGGTTTGCATGCGTCTCCCCCGCCCAGTACAACGTTTCGTGGCTCATATGGAGCTCCACCGAAAGCCACGGTGGCAGGGTTTGCGTGTGTCGCCCCCGCCCAATACAGCGCTTCGTGGCCCCATAGGGAGTTCCACCGGAGGCCCCATTGGCAGTGGTTACGTGCGTACCCCGCAACCAAATACAGCGTTTCGCGGCTCCATAGGGAGCTCCACCGAAGGTCCCATTGGCAGGGTTTGCGTGCGCCCCCCTCACCCAATACAGCGCTTCGTGGCCCATGGGGAGCCCCACCGAAGGCCCCAATCGCAACAGCGCTTCGCGGCCCCATAGGAAACTCCACCAAAGGTCCCATCGGCATGGTTTACATGCGTCTCCCCCACCCACTACAGCGCTTCGTGGCCCCGTAAGGAGCTTCACCGAACGCCCCAGTGGCAGGGCCCACGTGCGTCGCCCCCACCCATTACAGCGCTTCGGAGCCCAAGAGTTCCACCGAACGTCCCATTGGCAGGGTTTACGTGCGTCTTCCCCCGCCCAGTGTAGCGCTTCGTTGCCCCAGGGAGCTCCAGAAAAAGGCCCCGCTGGAACGGTTTACATGCGTTTCCCCCGCCCAATACAATGCTTCGTGGCCCCAGAGGGAGCTCCACAAAAGGTCCCAGTGGCAAGGTTCACATGCATCTCCCCCGCCCAAAACAACGTTTCGTGACCCCGTAGGGAACTCCACCGCAAGCCCCAATGGCAGGGCTTACATACGCCCCCCACACCCAATACAACGTTTCGTGGCTTCAGTGGCAGGATCCATATGTTTCTCCCTGCTCCAGTTTGGGACACCCCTCATGCGTTTCGTGCCCCCATGGGGAGCTCCACCGAAGGCACCAATGGGAGGGTCCACGCGCATCCCTTTGCCCCAGTTCGGCATCCAACCACGAATACGGCACACCCCTGGCGCGTTTCGTGGACCCAAAGAGAGCTCCACCGCAAGCGGCAACGTAACCACAACGCTGTACTCGCAACTGCATATGGTAGGGTCTTTCGCCAAGATATGTTTTGTGTCTCGCGTGCCCGTGGCTTGCCCCCCATCTGTCCCAGGGAGTCTTGGGGCGAATTTCAAGCGTCAGCCTTGGAACAGACTCTGCGGCGGCACTTGTTTCCTCGCAGGAGCTCGTACTCGTGTTCTGAAGCGTTGCTCTTGGTAGCAACGACATCTCTGTACTTCATTTTGCTCTTGACTAGCCTGAATATGTCATCTGGCGCGGGCGTCTCCAATAGACGCCCCGTAATGTCGACTGTTCGAGGTCTGGTTCCGCGTCCTGATCCCTAGGAAATTGCTTGGCTGGCCCTGATCGGGGCTGTGCTGAATCCGGCACAGTGCTATGGCTGCCAACAATTTTCTTGGTCGGCCGTATTCCCGAACGTTCCCTGTTCTCGACGCTTTTCAGCTCGCGGTAATGATGGTTTCCGGAAGCATCCTTAGTACGGCCGCGTTCCGATTCCTTTCGGCTCGACCCTGTGCCTCAGTTGCGGAGTATCTCAGTGGTTCGGCCGTTCTCTACTATCTTTGGTTCGATTTGCGCGCGTCATCCTTGCTCAGGGGCCGTACTCATCTTCTCTGTATCGTTCCAATGTTCACGGATAGCCCTGGCTCGTTCTTGTGCCTTGTTTGCGGAATATTTCCTTGATTCGCCATGTCTAGCTAACGTCGACACCATCATGGCTGTCTCCGTCTGATGGTTGTGGGGTATACTTGCCAAGTGCCAGGTACGAGTGTACCTTGACTCCAGCCGATCCAACGCGCTTTTTTGTCACCTTTGCTTTGCTCTGATTGCCGTCCGTCCGCTCAACCCGCCATCTAAAGCGTACGAACTATTGCTGAATGGCCCGCCAAGGATATTGCTACCATCGGGTTTCAGAAACAGCTGAAACATTTCGTGCGTCTGGCTGGGGCCACCAGTTTAGATAAATGCATTGGTTGGCGCTGCTTCGATCTGACTTGGAGGAGGAAACTGGGGGGGCGGGGGAGCCGCGCCCGGGCTGGACGGACACAATAAGATCGCCTGTAAACGCGTAAGACTTCGGCACTTCGGCAAACTTGCTTCCCCGCTCCGTATTCCAAGGCAAGTAACAACAAAAGTAGCAGCAACATCAGGGTCGGAACTTTTTCCGTCGGCGGCGCGGCAGGGCAATCCGCTCCAGCGTGGCAGCGATGCAGGGGCACTACCGGGCGAGGTGGCCCGCATGCAGGAGGCGGGAAACAGGAGGGCAGGGCGGCCGCGGGGGGGGGGGGAGAGGAGGGCGAGCACCCAGAGGCGGAAGACTTTCCGCCACGTGCAGCCGGGGCGGCCCGCACACCGCAGGGTCGTGACCAGAAGTGACCATGAAAGGACAGCGTCCGCAAGAAACAAAACGAATTGGGCGGGGACGCACACCGCAGGGTCGGAACATGCCTGTCGGAGAGCGCTTGCACCAACGGGCTCGTCCTCCGTCTGCGGACGGGTTGCCCCGGTCTGCCGGGGGCCACGGCCCGTGCCCGCCCAACCGACGCCTCTCGCCGCGGCCTCGCGGGCTGGCCGAACTTGGCGTGGGGCTCGGCGGGTGCCCGCCGGTCATGGGGCGTCGCTTCCTGGGGGGGCGACACATGGGGGGGGGGGAAGGGAGGTGCACTTTTCGGGCCCTCCAGGCCCCCTCTTGGGGCCTGAAGGGCCCCTCTTTTTCTGCAGCCCTCGCTGCCACCCCTCCCTTTCTCGCCCCCCGCATTACGCGACGCCCAGGGTCATTGCCTCGTCCCTGCCCTGGGGGCTGGCTGGGTTCGCTGAGCTTGCGCCCGGTTCCTGCCCGCTGCCAAGCTCGTCGCCACCTCTTGCTCTGGCTTGGCTTGCCAGGGTTTCGGCGGGTGCCCGACCGTCGCCTTCCTCGTTGCCTCACACCCGTGGGACCGACCAGATTGCACCATACAGTTTGCCTCCCATAGCGTTTGCCGACAGGCTGGCACCACACAGATGGCACTCCATAGGTTCCACCGCATATTGTCCACCACATAGGTTGCATCGCTTCTGTATATACAGTATCTAATTCTACATGCATCATCACCACCACCATCACCACCACCATCACCATAATCACCATCATCATCATCACCATCATCATCATCATCAGCATCATCATCTTCATCATCATTATCAGCATCGTCGTCGTCATCATCATCATCATCATCATCAACATCATCAGCATCATCATCAGCATCAGCATCATCGTCATCATCATGAACATCATCGCCAACATCATAACCATCATCATCATGGTCGTCATCATCAACATCAGCAGCAACATCATCGTCCATTGTCTTCCATCATCATCGGCATCATCAACATACTCATCATCATAATTATCATCCTCATCATCCTCCGCCTCCTCCTCACCGTCATCATCATCAACATCATTAGCAACACACCAACTGCATCACGCAGGGTGCCCTCCCGTTCGCAGCGAGGCGCCCGAGCAAGTCATCATCATCAATGCATCCAGGCAATCCGACGTCAAGCCAGAAGCAACGACGGTGAAGGCATCATGACCAGAGGGCAGTGGGTGGCAGCAGCGCGGACAGAAGGAGCAGCACCAATATGCAATGTTAGCGAGCATCGGTGAAAAATACCCCCATTCACTCCTGCAAGAGCGCGTCGCGATCGCCCTTCCGGCCCTGCGCGAAGCTGTCGACGCCGATCACGCCCACGCAGGAGCCCATGGCAGCCCTGGACACTGGCTCTTTGTGCCGGGTCTTACTTCTATGCGATCGATTTCGCGTCTTCCGATTCTGAACGATGGCCGCTCGCGGCCTGCATATGTCACACGAAACAACACACACACACCCTAGTTTGCACCGCTGCAAATACCGTATAGCCCTCCATCCTCCGCGCGAACATCGGGGTCAACGTCCGCGCCGACTCCGACACAAAGCCTGGTTCGAGTAGACAAGAACTGCTGTCGGTTTTCGTCCCCCAATTGCCGTATTGCTTGCCAGACGCGGGGGCCTCTCCTCCTCCTGCTTATCCCCGCCCTCTCCCCCTTCCTCGTCCTTCAACTCCTGCCGTTCGTTCTCCCCTACCTCATCCTTCCGTCCTCCCTCCTTTTCCATCAACCTGGCTTCGGAGACACATGTCCGCAGCGTCGATCACGATTCGAACACATTGAATACGCAACACGCATCAGCAGCAAACGCACTGCGCGACAGCGCGACAGAAACAAAAACACACAATCGCTCGCAAGGACACCGAGGAACGCAAGTGCGCTGCAATAGGGGGATAGGGGCGACGACCGGCAGGAGCACCTACACAATCGTACTCCCTCCTCCGTTCAACTGCTAGAAAGCTCAGGTCGATCGACGGCCCTACCCAAACCTATCCTCCATTGGCCAACGAAAGGGTGCCCAACATCCCGAAGGCCGAGAAGTCATCGCGAGGGGGTGGGGGTGATAAAGCGAGCCCGAACTGCGGAATGGAGGGGGCCAATGTCGGGAGCGGCCAAGAGGGGGGTGTCCAAGAGGGGGGGGGTGCAAATCGTGACCGGCGGCATGTGCGCGGCCCAGCGGGGGGGCCAGGGACGTAATGAAATAAGAGCAGGCGCCATGAAACCTGGGGAAATATCATGGCCCCCGCCATGATATCCCCCCCCCCCCTAGTCATCACCCCCCTCATGACCGACCCCCGACAGTGAGGCCGAGAGCGTCTGTCCCGCACTTCCGGGCAGAAGCCCTTCCCAGGGCTTCCCAATGCTCCTCAGGCAGGAGGAAGCAGGCAGGCAGGGCGCAGAGGAACCCCTCCTCCTTCCCCTCCTCCTCCCCCTCCTCCTCCTCCTCCTCCCCCTCCTCCTCCTCCTCCTCCTCCTCCTCCTCCTCCTCCTCCTCCTTCTCCTCCAATGACCACGCAAAACTTAGATCCACTGGTGCTGGCCGGACCCCTTCCCGTCTCCTGCTCTTTCTTCTTCTTCTTCTTCTTCTCCTTCGTCTCCTTCGTCTCCTCCTCGTCCGCCTCCTCCTCCTCCTCCTCCTCCTCCCCGTCCTCCTCCCTCCTCTCCTCCTCCTCCTCCTCCTCCTCCTCCTCCTCCTCCTCCTCCTCCTCCCATCCCTCTCCCACTTCATCTTTCCCCGTGTCCTCCTTCTGCTCCTGCTCCTGGTCCTACTGCTCCTCCTGCTTCTCCCCCTGCTCCTCCTCCTCTTCCTCGCTCTCTTCCCTCCCTCCTATCACACCTTCCTCCTCTCCATCCCTCTCCCCTTCGTCCTCCATCACCCCCTATTTTCCTTTTGTTTTTCTTCCTCCTCCTCCTCCTCCTCCTCCTCCCCCTTCTCTTCTTCAATCATCCTCGTCGTCGTGGTCGTCCTCGTCCTCAGTGCACCCTTCTCCTCCTCGTCCTTCGTCTCCTTGCTGAGACTTCTTGGTATCCGAGCCCAAGAGGATCCCTCGCCCTGGGCACCCGGCGGCACGCCCCCCCAGCAAACGCGCAGCTCTCGCCCCCCCCCGATGCTGCGGTCGAGACGTGGCCCCAAGGACGCAGGTCGGTGCACCCCGGCGCAACCGAGCGTATCGAGGAGGCTGCCGCGGCGGGGCGGGGGGTGGGTTGGGGGTGGGGGAACTGGCTGCGTGCAGGAGCCTCCTCTTCGTAGCCCTCCTTCCGCGCCCTCTCTCTTTCGGCCCCCCCCGGCCCTCCGAGAGGGCGGGTGAGGAGGAGTCTCCCGGATGCGGCCGAAACCTTGCCACGAGGAGGCGGGCCAAGAACACCCGTCCGTTGGCCGAAGGCTCAAGGCCCCCTGGAGAGACCCCAGAGGGAAGAACACTCGAAGGTGGAGATCCCAGACACGAGACAGTGCCAGCTGTGCCTGCATGTCTGGAGTGCTAAAGTGTGCGAAATTCTGTGGATCAGGCCCTCCCTCCTCGCGCCTCCCTGCGGCTTCGCACCACCTCACTGCGTCCTGCCCTCCAAAAACGGCATGGCTCAAACACAGACCCTGTGTTCGCCTTCCCGCTGGCCCTGCACATCACCCTTGGGCAGTTCTTGACGCTTCGCATATCCCCACCAGCCCGTCCAGAAACAGATCGTCAGGCGAGTGGCCTCGATCAGGGACGTGTAGAAGCATGCAGCGTAACAACCGCCTTGGAAGTGCTGTCTCGGAGGTCTCTTGGAGCCATCTTGTGTCTCTCTTGGGGTCCTCTCGGAGCCACTTGGGGCACTGTTGGGGCCCTCTTGGGGCTTTTTAAGAAGTCTAGGAGCCCTCTTGGGGCTCCTTGGGGGGATCTGGGAGGCCTCTTGAGGCAATGTTGGGCACACTGCTCAAAGAGGGGGGGGTAATAAATTCAGGTCCCCCCCGAACCTCAAAAATGCCTTCTTGGGGTGCTCTTGGGGCTCTCTTGGGCCGCCTTGGGGCCATTGTAAGGCCTCAAGAGCCCATCGGAAGCGACAAGGCGAGACAGCAAAACACATAGATGTTTCTTCGGTTTTCGAGCCATTTGTGCCTGCTGGGGGGGGGTCAATAGAAGGCTCGGAAGGAACTTGAAACCGTCTTGGGGCCGTCTTGAGGCCTCTTGGATGTTTGTCGGAGGCTATCTTGAGCCATCTTGAGGTATCTTGAACCATCTTGGAGGCCATCGTGGGCTCTCTGAGACCCTCTTGGAGCCATCGTGGGCCATCTTGGACGCTCTAAACCCTCCACCGCCTCCCCTCCCAGGCCCAAGGGAGGAAGCAGGGGGAGGGGAAGGAGGGGTTTTGGCAGAGCGAAGACAAAGTTCGTTCAACCATCTATGCCCAGAGGGCAGGTGGGATTTCTGGCTGAACGGCTTGTCCAACCCGTGTGACACTGTGCAGCCAATCGGAGCGTTACCAAGCTCGCTATAGGCTTAAAGGGTACCTGGAGGAAGAAGCGGCCATCGCATAATACTGGAAAGTGCGGCAAGTCGTCCGCCGCCGTACAGCGAGGCGCTAAGAATCATTTCGGGTAGCTACAGCTGAAAAGTTAAAGCTGAAACCAGTATCTCGCGATGTGTAGACTGTCCTTTCGTGGGAACGGCCAATCGGACAAGCAAGAATTCGCCGGCCCAACGGGCCAGAGGCGTGCTAAGATCTCCGGTAACTGCTAAATAATACTTCTACTTCGCGCGCGCGGGGCGGCCCCTGGGGGTCCCCGGACGAAAAGTACCCCGGGCGATCCCTGGCAGGGTCGGGTCAGAGATGGTTTTCCTCCTGGGCGCCGCCCCCGTGGCCCTCCAGAGAGCCCCAAGAAGGGCCACGAGGCCGCCAAGAGCCCTCCAAGATGGTTCAAGAGTGCTCCGAGATGCCACACGATCGTTCCAAGACGCCCAAGATGGCCCCCAGACGCCCCAAGAGGCCTCCAAGAGCACTCCCCAGAGGGCCCCAAGAGGCAAAATTCATTACTTTTCCTTAGGTTTTGGGCAGATTTTGGCGTGTCCATCTTTTCGGCTTCCCGACGCCCCAAGACGGCCCAAGAGGCCCCCAAGATCGCCCCAAGAGGGCCCAAGAAGCTCCCAAGAAGGCCCCAAGATGGCCCAAGAGGGCTCCAAGACGGCCCCAGAGGCATCCAAGACGGCCCAAGAGGGGCCCAAGAGGGCCCCAAGCGATGCCCCAAAGGGGGAGCACAAAACAAAACTTCGAGCCCTCGGCCTTAAGAAGCCCCCAGGAGGCCTCAAGAGGCCCCTGAGAGGCCCCAAAAGCCCCCAAGAGGCCCTCAGGAGGCCCCCAAGCGACGCTGAAGAGGCCCCCCAGCGGCCCCAAGAGGCTCAGTCATGCGAAATGGGCCGGCGGAGTGAGCGAAGCGATTCAATAACAAATCAACTCAGAACTCCAATCCTGTAGGGGCCCGCAGGATGGCAGTAATCCGGCGCCGAACTACAGGCAGAGAGCAAGTTCAGGAGCGCCCGACTGCCAAGACAATCGCCTGCACATGCCGAACATGCAGGCTCAGCGATGAACCTCGCGGGGTCCTCGGCGCGAAGCAGGACGTACGCATGTGCTGTCAAGCGCGCGAAGTGCCAGATGGAAGTCGGGGCTGGGAGCACTGGCCGAGAGGTGCGTGGCCTTATGCTGTCCCATCGCACTTAAGGACCACATCCCAGAAATAATTTCGAGCACCCAGAACAGTTTCCAAACACTATCAAATGAGTATCGCCTCCCAGGGCCCCACACGTGAAAACCCTCCAGTTTCCTTATTTTCTTGATGCTCGAAACTCTTTCTGGTGATTAAGGCTAAAGTAGGTTGGAACATCATAAGCGTGGCCACAGAGAGGGCTTGGCTGAGACGAGCGAAGCTGCGCGTGGAGAGCCACGAAGGGCGCTACAACGGGCCAGGAGGAGGAGAAGGAGGAGGGAGGAGGAAAAGGGAGCACGGATGGTGAGGACGGCCATCTCCAGACCTGGGTTTAAGATGGTTGCCGAATCAGCGTGGCAGATCACACTGCCTCAGAGACTCAGCACAGGATCTTCGGCACTTTCGAAATGCTGCTTTACCCGATCGTCCAGGCACGCGAGGACCTTCAGGCTAATGCTTTTGTCCCTCGCCTCTGCAATGACGCCGTCCTGCTCCAGCATGCTGATGGCGGTCGGTGTGAGGTGCTTGTGCCACACGTACATCATGAATTCGGTAACGCCCTCGTCCTGGCCGCTCTGCGACAAGATCCCGTAGAACTTCACCCGGAGGGCACCTGGGGAAGGAGAGGCGAGGAGGAGGAGGAGGAGGAGGAGGAGGAGG